AGCCATTAATTATGACAGGGTGTAGCCCACAACCACGAGCTCCGGGGTCTTCCTTACATGAGAAATTTGAATCATCGAAACAGAATATCCTGTGTTTGAAGGAACTCACAAGGATCTTTGAGTCCAATGATGGGCAATCAAACGCTTTGTTAAAATCCAGAAAACCCACATCCATGGCCTTCCCTTTGGCCACCAGATGAGTTGGTGTAGAAGGGAATTAAGTCAGTACAGCACAAAAAATCTGCTCAGAACATTTCTGTAGAGTGAATTTTTAAAAAGTCATTTACATGCTAAGCTGTCAACCCATCAATTCTCGTGGTGTAATTTTTAGGAGGATGGCGTATCTCTCATCTGTAGCCTTGAATCCTGCTTTAAGCTTAAAATTTAGTTCAGGCACGAATCAAAATGGAGAGGAGCACTGGGTGTGTGTTAAACTGCTTCTTACAGCTGCTTTAAATACTCACCCAGGGCAGGGAGTAGATGGATGCTAATGATCCCTGTGCCTTTTGTTTGTAGCCATCCTATGGCAAACGTTTCCATCTTTTGTGGTAGGAATGTCGCCGCTTAGGAAGCAAAAGTTGTTTTGGTAAACACCTACACTTGGAATTCTGCTGGAAGTGTCCCTGACCATCTACCAGCGAGTGCTGGGGGTCTGACCTACTGATCCTGGCTTTCCTCACTTGGAGGCGCTTTTGAGCTGACTTGCAGGGAAATCAAACCCCCAGCTTCAGTTCTAATTGTGAGTGCTCCTGAAAATCGGCCTCCGAGCCTGTCCAAATTAGGCACCCAGAGGCAGATGCTCCTTCTAGGAAAGCTGCCTGAGCGAGGCTTTCCCCGAAGACGCCTTGCCCATGAGCAGAATGGCAAGAACTGAAGGCGAGGAGCTCCTGACCACCTTGCCGACGCACTGGGTGAGCTCACCCTCCTCCTTCCAGCTCCATGCTTCCATCACACTCACAAGCCCTCAGGAGTCACCACTCCTCTCTCAGGAAGACAGCAGTTGAGCTTGAGAGCACTAAATTAAGTTTTGGAGGGTGCCTGGAGCACCCTTTGGTCTCTGTATGAAATGAGGCCCCTGCTGTCACCCCAGGAGTGGCCCTTGGAGAACAAGCCCATGTGTATGTGCCCGTCAGCCCTGCAAGGAACATGTCAGTGCTCCCGAGGAGGTTGTTCCTTTGCTGTGGTTCAGCTCAGCTGTTCAAATCATCTCTGAGTGCCCTAGGGAGTGCTTTGGAAACATGATTTCCCACAGGCCTGGGATAAGGTGAGAGGTCCAACTCTGAGGTTGCTCAAACCGGAGATTCCCAAACCACAACCCCCTAAAAATGACTTGGCCTCAAGATTTAAGTAATTTCTTACACAAGGGCTGACTGGAGCTTGTGGTGCTCCAAAGTGGCAGTGTCTGCTTGGGGTCATTCTGACTGGTGGGTGTTCTTGGTGTCAACCCTGGGCAGCTGCACCAGCCCCAGTTCTGTCAAAGAGGAGGGAACGTTGTGCTAATGGTCTGCAGGGTCTCCTCAGGACACTTCCCTGAGACCAGCAGGTAAAAACCAATTCCATTAAGTGCTCCAGAATCCATATGCGCCCCTTTAATTAAAAGAAAAAAACAGCAGTAAATGGGGAAAAGGAACATCTTTCCAAAGCCAGAGCACATGGATAATGTAACTGTGACACAGACACCCTCCCACGGGCTGCAGCTCCTACAAGAAAAGCAAGTAGCTGCTGAGCACAAGCACGTCCATACAGGAGGGGGATGTTTTAAGTGCTGACACAGATTTGGCTGACAAACACGGTGCTGGCACACTGTCTCCTTTGAAATAACAAATGCTGCCGCAGAACGTGCTCTGTGGTGCTGTGTCTGTCCCCGGGTGCTGCGAGAGTGGCTCCCAGGGAGTTCACCCTGTGAGATGGTGTGGTCCGAAAAGCAAGACCTTTTTTTTGAAGTTTATTCCCGTTAAAATTCCAATCCTGCAATTCCAGGTGACCTAGTCATGTCCATGGGGCATGGGTCTTTGGCAATCCTGGCATACACCCATTCAGAGCAAGGGGCTGGGCAATATATTCTTGAATTAATTTTGGGGTTTTTTTTCCCCCACATGTTCTTAAAGCTGCATAAATAATGATCTTGCAATTCCAGGAGCAGAGTCATTTTGTCCTGGCCTGCAGCTCCCTGCCTACCCTGACAGAAATCTTCTTTCCTGCTCTGATCTCTACAGTCAAGGTGTAGCTTGTCTTGGAAGGTGGAATTGTGCTGCAGGGAGGGGACTAGGTCTTGGCAGGGCAAGGAGAACACCCAGGTAGGTGAATGAATTGAATCTGTGGCTTTGGCTACTGGGACACTGGGCTGGTTTTATTTCCAGCAGTTATTCAGGGGGGTAAAGAAATGAAACCAAACGTGGAAGAGGGCTGGGCCAGTTTCCACCTCTCTGGTGCTCTTGTCCACAGTTGCATTTGTCAACTGGGACCCACATCCCTCACCTCTTGCTGCCTACAGCTGACAGTGGGATGCAGTGCTTTAGGAGAAGCACTGTGCCTTCCTCCTGGGGCTTGTCCAGTCTCCAAAACAGGTGGAAGAAGGCTGAGGCAGCAGTGATGCAACAGTGTCCCCCCTGGTTTCCCCCTGCCCACAATTCCATCTGCAGAGAAAACTGTACCCAAAAGTTACGCTGAGGCAGTATCCCAGATGGGATCCCATACACCATGACGTGCTACACTCTGCCTGAGCCAGCCCCAAAAAGCTCTGCTACAGTGAGGAAGAAGGAAGTGGAGGCTGTAACCTCCTGGAGCTTGCTTAGAAACATCGGAAAGCATAGATAGAAGGACCCTGCTTGGCCTGGGGGCCCTAAATCCCCAGCTCCACCGGTGCTGGCAGTGCCCCTGCTCTGGCATGGGTGACTGGCAGCACTGTGGGGCGATACTGGAGGGGAGGTCCCTGCCTCTGCTGCTTTTTGGGGACATCTTTGCTGCTCTAACCTACTCCCCTCCCAGGACCGTAAAGGCCACTAAGATGATTAAGGGATTGGAGCAGCTGTCGTGAGAGCTGGGACTGTTTAGCTTGGAAAAACAAAGGCTTGAGAAGGGGATTCTCGTCCATGTCTTATTAATACCTGGTGGGGGTTAGAGAATCACAGAATCACAGAATAGTGAGGTTGGAAGGGACCACAGTGGGTCAGCTGCTCCAACCTCCCTGCTCAAGCAGGGTCATCCCTGAGCACATGGCACAGGATTGTGTCCAGATGGTTTTTGAATATCTCCAGTGAGGGAGACTCCACACCCTCTCTGGGCAATCTGTTCAGTCTGCAGTCACTGCACAGTAAAGAAATTCTTCCTCATGATCGGGTGGAACTTCCTGGGGATCAGTTTCTGCCCATTGCCTCTTGTCCTATTGCTGGGCACCACCAAGCAGAGCCTGGCTCCATCCTCTGACCCTCTCCCTTTCAGATACTGATAGAGGTCCCCTCTCAGTCATCTCTTCTGGAAGCTGAACAGGCCCAGCTCCCTCAGCCTGTCCTTGTAAGAGAGATGCTGCAGTCCCTTAATCATCTCTGGCCTCTGCTGGAAGCTGGTCCAGGAGCTCTCTTGTCCTGAGGAGCCCAGAACTGGACACAGCACTCCAGATGTGGCCTCACTTGGGCTGCATAGAGGGACAGGATCACCTCCCTCGATCTACTGGCAGTGCTCTTCCTAATGCATCCCAGGATACCATTTGCCTTCTTGGCCACAAGGGCACACTGCTGGCTTGTTGTCCACCAGGACCCCCCTGGTCCTTCTCTGCAGAGCTGCTCTCCAGCAGGTCAGCCCCCAACCTTTACTGGGGTTGTTCAGGGACCTGCAAGGACCAGCAGGAGGTGCTGGACAGGGTTTGGAGAAGAGGGAGGCAAAAGAGATGAAGCTTAAAAAAAAACCCCTCCATTGAAACCACAGAGGCACATCACAGGGAGAGGGGGAGCAGTTCCAGGGTTCCCCAGTGCCACGGTGACAGCACACAGGAGCGAGCAGGCAGCCCCACTCCGTGGTGCAGGCACAAATCTCCAGTGTTCCCCCTCTTTCTGCCCAGCCCCTTGGGAGGTGGCACAAGACCCAGTGCTCTGCCATGCACATTGTAGCCCGATGCCACCTCCTCCTCGGTGGGGAGGAAGGCTCCGTGTCACCAGCCACACGCTGCCAAAGCTACTGAACTCGGGAAAAAAAATCAAAGCAGCGAGAAGTGTTTGTGTTGTGAGTGCCAGGGAGGTGGCCCCCATCACGTTGCCCCTGTCAGAAGCCACCAAGAGGTCAAAGTTCCTTCCTGGGAGAGCCAGAGGAAACAGCACTTCCTTCCCAGTAAGCTTCCAATAAGCTTCCTTCCCAGCAAGCTTCCCAGCAGTCCAGCAGCTCATAGGTGCCAGGCAAGCTGCACAGGAGGGGCGCAAAACCTCCAGCCCCAGGGGAAGGTGGTGAGGGAAAAGCAGCAAGAGGGGACACAGGGAGCAGTCCCTTCTCCCAGCCCAGTACCACACAGCGAGGTGGGGACAGCGGATATCCTGGGATGAGGCACAGCAGCTTAGGGTGGTTTAGCATTCCCTGTCACACCCATCCGGTGCGAGGGCTTCTGGGGACACAGCTATGGCCACCGCAGCTGCTGCAATCTGCTCCCAGTGCTGGACATGGGTCCTTACTGGTCCAAACTGGAGATCAGGGCCTGGATAACCATTCCCACATGGCAGCAGCTGGAGATGGGGAATGTGTGGATTTACATGCACACGCACGGGGCTGTCACTGTTCCAGAGCCAGTCCTGGTTTCAGTGGCTCCCATCCTGTGTGGCCATCTCATACCACCTTGGGTGATGACAGTTTGGCCCAGCAGCCAAATTTTGGCAACATTTGGCTGATGTGCAGGCAGTGCCAGAAATCACAATAATTTCCCACAACACCCCATCACCCTCCAGCTGTCTAAGCTGACCCTCAGCCTGCCCTGTCTCAGGGCACTGGGGCCAAAGAAACATCCTCACAGCGACACCGACACTCATTAAACGTTTGGTTTTATTTCTGGTTTAAAATCAAAATTAGTCATTCTCTGTAATTACATTATATATAGATTTATAGAGACATTATAGAAAAGAATTTTTTGCTTTTGTTTTTCTGCAAAAATCTGTAAATAAAAAATAAAATAAAACAGAACAAACCAAAAAAAAAAAAAGGTGGCAGCTTCTGTCTGTCCGTCTGTCCGTCCCTCTATTGCTCCTCCTGCCCCTGCCCTCCACGGCACTTCCCAACAGACCAGGAAAGGCTCTGGGCTGGGGCCACATCTCACTACTCTCCCTACAGCCACAGCCGGGGAGCGACAGGAGCATGTGGAGCTGGAAAGAAGAAACGCCAGCAGAATATATTAATATCTTATATTTCACTTTATTTAAGTCCTGGGGACTCCAGGTGGCAGAGGGCAGCAGTCCCCATGGCCCAGGCAACTCCTGGAAAGAAACAGCAAAGTTTCCAAAGTGCAGGTCCTTCCGGGACAGGGCGCGCGCCCTCGAGCGAGAGGAAGGCAAGAGGAGCAGAGAAATCCGGTACCTCTCCCCGCCGCCCCGGGGGGCAGGAAGGGTGGGCTCCGCGGGTATTTTAAATAGCGATCAGAGGGTGGGATGTGCAGCGAGCCCCCCTGCCCAGCGGTGCAGGGGCCGGGGCCGGGGAAGCGGTGCTCCGTAAGGCAGTGTGCGGCCGTGGCGAGCTGCCGGCGGGGGTAATACTGCGGTGTGGTGCCGAGAGCGGGAGCTGCCGGGTCCCCAGTCCGTGCAAGCCCGGGCGGCCCGGCGGTGCCTGTGCCCTCAGGGATGGCAGGTGGGCGTGCGTGGGTCTCAGAAAGCTGTACTGGCCATGCTGGCTGGTGCAAAGATCCGTGGGAGGCTGTCCAGGGTCTCCTCCAGCCGCCGGTGAGCTGATTTACCATCTTCCCCTGCAAGTACAAACCGTGGTCAGTGATCCGAACTGTGGGAGTTCTGTCCCCTGGTCATCCCTGGCCACCTTTCCCGGCCCTTACAAGGGAACATGCCTAATGCCTGGCACAGCCTGCGTGCTATGGCCACAGCATGGAGACCTCTCTTGTCCTCCTTAGCACACCCTTGGGCAGGTCCCAGCTGGGATCCGGCTCAAAAAGTCCCCAGAGCTCCTGATTCAGAGGTTGCAAATCCTGTTCCTCAGCTGCCCACGCGGGGCAGGGATCACCCATGTTTGGGCTGCAGGAGTGTTGGCTTGTGGAGAGCCTCACTTGGGGCCAAGGGACCAGTGCTCAGGGCTGTGCCGGCTCTGGCAGCTCCAACAGCTGTGCACATCTGCATGCACTGGCACAGGGGTCCCGAGGGCTCCCCCAGGACCCCCGAGCACACACAGGGATGCACACACCCATGCTACAGGCTCACTCTGAGCTCTTTGCCCGGCACCCTCACACGCAAATCTGCCCACAGCGGCCATCCCCAGCAAGAGGTGGTGACATGGACAATCTGCTGGGACATAGGACACAAGGCGTCTACATGTGCCGGGGTGCCACAGGGATGGGCACTATCAACAACCAAGACACACAGACTCCGAAACGTGACATGGCTGACAGGCTCTAAGACGGAGACATTCGTGAGCAAAGCGGCAGGAGCGGGGACAAGGGGGACGAGGATGGCTCACGTGTCCCAACCTGTGCAGCAGCTGCCGCGATCTGGAGGCCTAGAAACCCACTCAGATGGTTCTCTCAGGGCCATCTAGCAAATAATAAATAACAACCAGGCTTAGTGCTGTGGCCACAGGATGCCTGGCCCTCGCTGCCCGCTGCCAGCTTGCTCTTGCCCGGCAGAGCTTGGGGCACGATGAGCCAGAGTGTGTGGGGTAGGCAGGGACCAGCCCCGGAGCCCGGTCGTCCGTGGGCACTGCTGGCACCAGGAGATGCCTCTTGGGATGCTGTGGGTGGAGAGGGAGCAGAGAAATAGCGAGACACTCACCACACAGCATCAGGCTCTGCTTGGCTGCCTCCCGCACGGGTTCTTTGTCGGTTTGGCACAGGTAAACCAGCTGCTCAATACTCTCCTTGGCCTGCAGAAGAAGGGACAAGGGGCTGAGTGTGGCTAGCGGGGTGGGAGCAAAGACACAGCCCAGAGGGGAAGGCAGCACAGGGCACTGCAGCCCCACAGTGCAAGGAAGCCGCACATCCTGTCCCTTTTCTCCCCACTTCCTTTCCTGCCCTGCCCCTGCCTGCTGCTCCAGCACATTTGGGGCACCCCCAGCTCCTCTCCCCCGGGAGCAGGAGGCTGTGCAGGTGTGTCCGGAGTCACCGGCCACAGGCATTTCCTCTTCCTTTGGAACATGCAGCTCTGCTGCCTCCTTCCCCCACCCCTCTCACCTTCAGGCAGCCCAGTGCCGCACACCCCGCCACGCGCGTCTGCACCTCCTCATCCTCCAGCTGCTCCAGGAAGCACACGAGGGCCTGGGGGAGACGGGAGTCAGTGCCACCACCTGCAGCAGAGCTGGGGGCAGCCCCCCAGGGGCTGTGGCCCCGGCCCATCTCATCCCTGGTTTGCCCAGCACGTACCCGTTGGCGGAAGCGGGGGTTTTCTGCCAGGCTGCGGAGCTGGGCTGACACGGCGCTCACCACCTTGCTGTTGCCCTCCACGAGGAGCAGGCTCAGCGCCTTCAGTCCCTCCTTCTTCAGGCGGGCCTCGGGCACACGCTTCAGGGCACGCAGCACCACGTCCTGGTCGTCCGAGTTGAGGTTCTGTGCCAGCAGTGCTGCAGGAAGCCAAAGGCTCAGCCAAGGTGTGGGGAGCCACGTGGCACTGCCCCTGCACCCATCACCGCAGGGAACCCATCCCTGGGCACCCTGCATCCATGCCGGGCAGAGGTGGCCCCACACAAGGTGCTCATACGTGGAATTGTGCCCCAAGATGCTGGGGACCTACGGCAAGGACATGGGAAGGCAGCATGGGAGCGGGCTGTGCTCTGTGCTCTGTATCAGACTGACTTGCCCAGCCCGAGGATGGCTGAGCCTCTGGGTGATGCCCCAGGGCAGTGATGGCAGTGCTGCAGGGTGATCAATGACTATGGTCATGCTCTGACACCTCATCCCAGGGCCTAAGGAGGATGGGAGGGCACCCACCTTCCTCTGCCAGCTCCATCATGTAGGTGTCAAGCACCAGGGCGCCGAGCGACTCAAAGTGGCTCCAGTACTGGAAGATGGTGACCTGCTCGCTCTGGGCACTGCCAGGTCGCCGGGGCAGCCGCCGATTCAGCACGTCCTCCACCAGTTTCACACACACTGTGGGAAAGAGCCAGGATCAGGGTGTGCAGCAGCTGTGGTCACCCCTCTGAGGGGCTCTTGGCCCCCACATACCCCCACTCATGGTCACCGAGCGAGGCTGCCAACTCCCAGCATACCCTTGGCACCCACTCACCAGCATCAGCCAAACCAGGGTGCTGCTCGCTGATGGCTGCTGCATACTGAGCACTGAGCACCTGCAGGAACCGCTCCACGGAGCAGGTGTAGACGTTGGGCACCTCCACACAAAGGTCCCAGAGAGGCAGCACGCCCTCCTTCCGCGTGGAGAACTGCACCACTGCAGGGACAGGGGTTGTCAAACCTCCAGAGGCCATGGCAGCAGGCAGGTGACTCCTGCACTCCCCTTTGCTGCCCAGCCATGCCCACGAGGGGACAGCAGGCTTCACACAGCCTCCAGGGTGGCACGGAGGGTCCCCTCGGCCGCGTGTCCTCACCGTCGGCGGCCGAGCTGGCTGCTCCCGCGCGCTCCTCCGTCAGCTGGCACACGATCTCCAGCACCTGTGACTCCCGCAGCAGCCTGTCCAGGGCGTACATCTCCTGGCACCGCAGGGGACCGAAGGTGCCCAGCTTCTGCAAGGCACAGCCAAACCAGAGACCTCAGGGACAGAGCTCACTGCCCACACCACAGTGCTTCCCCCCTGAGGGGGGACCTACAGCCCACCCCAGGGTGTCTCCGGCTGCTGCACCCCATCCCTGGTCCTCACCAGCAGCAGGCAGTTGCAGTTGTTGAGGTGAAGCACCAGAGCCTTATCCAGGAACTCGTTGCCGGTGCTCATGGGGTCGGTGCTGGCCTCAGAGCCGCTGCACATTCCAGTGTCATCTGCCCCCACCTCGCCGGCACTGGGGGCCCGGGTGCTGCGCAGGGGTCTGCCAGCCTTCCTGCAAGCCAGGGAGAGATCAAGGCACTGGATCAACACAGGAAACCTGGATCTGGCCCTTCCCCACCCACGGGGCAGAGTTTCTGTAGGATCTATAGCATCACAGCTGGGCAAAGGAGCAGGTCCCAGAGGCACACGGGCTGCCTCCAGCCCACCCCCATGGAGGGACGCAGGGTGACACTGTGCCACCAGAAGGACCAGATACTGCTGTTTCTTGGCCTGGCCCTTCTCTGAGCTGTGATGGGCCAGTCTAAATGTGCTTGGGCACCCTGGTAGAGGTGGCCATCCCCCATCCTAACTGCCACAGGGCCGCCTCCTGCCCCATGCTCCATCCCATGAGCCCCACTGTGCACCTCTCGTCTTGGAGAGGCTCCTCCTCAGAGCCCTCTGAATCCTCCATGTCAGAGGTGTTGAGGAAGCTGAAGCTCTCCAGCGCGTGCTCCACTGTCAGGCTGATGCTGGAGGCCCGGCTGAGGAAGACACCCTGCTTCTGCTGTGGAGGAAGGCATGGTGGGGTTGAATCCTGGTTCACCATCCAAGACAGCCCTGCCACACATATTCCCAGCTATGCCATCAGGGATGGCCCCATCTCCATCATCCCTGGGCATTGCCATCAGGGGTGAACCCTGTCCCCATCATCCCTGGAGACTTCCAACTGGGGTGACTCTACCCCCATCATCTCTAAGCACTGCCACCAGAGATGATCACCATTCCCATCATCCCTAGGGGCTGCCAGTTGGGGTGACCCCCATCCCCATCATCCCTGGGCACTGCCAGCAGGGATGGCTCTGTCCTTGTCCACCGGCACTGTCAGCTCGGATGGACCCATCCCCCTTGTCTCTAGACACTGCTGGAAGGGATAGCCCTGTCCCCATAAACCCTGGGCACTGCCAGCAGGGATGGTCCTGTCCCCATAAACCCTGGGCACTGCCAGCAGGGATGGTCCTGTCCCCATTGCCCCCAGACACATTGCCAGCCACAAATGCCCTGTCCCCATCGCCCCTGGACACCACTGAGAGCTCCTCACCAGCAGCATCTCCTCCAGACGCTTGAGCTCCCGTTCAAGGGGCTGCAGCTCTGGGAACTGCCCCCGATAGTCCTCCAGGGCTGAGCCCAGAAGGCTGATTGCCTCCTCCAGCCCTGAATCCACCACCTTCCCCCGTGGCACCTTGGGGGCACTGGCAGGCAGCGGTGGGGTGGGGACGGGCCTCTCCTCCACAGAGGCTTGTGCCAGCGCTGCAGGGACCTCGGTGTCACAGCCACCCTGTGCTGGCGCCTGGCTCTGCACTGGCTCGGCTCTGCCAGCCTCCACCTCGCAGGAGGTGGTCCATGCCGCAGAGGCTCTGGGCTTGGCCTCAGCGTCCCTGTCTTGCCCTGCCACAGCCGCTGCCACCGCGGCGCCGGGGAGAGAGTCTGCATCTTGCTCGCCCGTCCCTGTGTCCTCTGGGCTGGGCATGGGCTCCCAGGGGCTCTCCACAGCCTTGGCCTCCATCGTGGCGTCCACGCTGGCCTCGCTGATGTGGCTCAGAGTCCGGGAGTAGGGCACGTGCCCGTTGGCCACTGTATCCTTCTTACGGCTGCCCGACTCCTCTGGCTGGCTCCCGGAAGGGGAGACGCTGCTGCCACTGGTCCCCAGGCCAGTCTCGGCCTCGTCTGGTTGCTGGGAGAAGGAGATCTCGATGGCCGGGGCGGAGGCCTGCACCTCGGGCTGCATGATGGGCTTGTGGGCGGCGTGGCGGGCGCTGCCGGACAGCTGGGGGCTGGAGGAGTCGTCCGAGGACTCGGAGGAGATGGACCAGGCTGTGCCGTTCTCCAGCTCCTCCTGGCGCCGCAGCATGTTCTGCAGAAGGGAGAGCGGTGTCAGCCAAGACCCTCCTCCTGCTGCCCCCGCTCCTCTGGCTGTCTTCCTGTCAACCAGGGGCAGGGTGCAGCTGAGCTGGAGGGCACTGAGGCTGCCAAAGCTCTGCTGGCACAGCAGGATGGGCAGCGAGGTCCCAGCAGACCATGGCTGCCTATTCCAGCCCTGGATCTCACCCCGTGCCAGCAGGCAGTCCGCCTCCCCATGCCCAGCCCCTGGAGCCCTGGAGTGCCAGCTGCTCCCCAGCACAGTGGGATGCAACACCTAGAGCCAAGGACACCACCCACCATGGCTGCAAGGACTGAGACAGGTCCAGCATCAGGTCACGGGGACGGCACCAGCCATCACACCAACGTCGTGGTTCAGCATCACTGAACCGGTGCCACGTCAACACCACGTTAGAGTCAAACCAGCACCATGACACCATCACACCAGCACTGTCACCAGCACCATGCCAATGCCACGGCACAGCACACCAATGCCACCAGCACGGGGACACAGAGAAGCTTTCTACTCACTAGTGCCCGGTTCTTGCACAGGGGTGAACCCAGGCTCCCCTAGCTCGGGGACTAGCTCTGCAGGACCGGCCAGACCCCAGCCTGGCAGGATCAGGCCTTTGGGCATCAGTGAGGGATGGTGAGCAGGAGACAAGGAGCGGCTACGGCTACTGCGGGATGGCCACACTGCTGGGCTAAGCTACCGGCCTGCTCCAGCCCCGCACTTACGCGGCCCTGCTGCGGCCATCTCCCGAGCTCGGCCGAGGAGACATCGCCGCAGGAGCAGCTCTGAGAGAGCTTCTCGAAGAGTGTCTCCCGAAAGATGTCCAGCAAGGACCAACCGCGCTTGTCGGCCGCCCGCTCCGGGCTCTTGGGCAGAGAGAAGAGGAGCTGTGAACGCGGGAGGGAGGAGCAGGCACCGGTACCGGGGAGTCGTGGCCGGATGGCTGGAGAGGAGCTGCCCACCCCTGTCCTGAGCTGTGCCACCCTCTGAGATGCAGCGTGGGCACATCCCCGTGCGGACCCCACCAGCGCCCACCTCTCCTGAGCAGCCCTGCCTGGTGCACACTTACATAGAACGCCTGTTCCCGAAGGGACGGCGTGTCAGGCGGACTCTGGTTGTAGGTGGAGAACCTCTTGTTCACTGTGGGCGCCTTGTTGACGGTGCTGGCTGCTGAGGGCTGGTCATCCTTGTCGAAGGGGCTGGGGAGGACAGCAGGGAGGTGAGGGATGTGTGCCAGCTTGGGGGGGAAGTCTCAGGACACCAGGACCCCCTCCATTCCAGCTCTGGTTTTCCATAATTACAGCCCAGTTTTGGGATGGGAGAGAGCCTGGGCAGGTCACCTCTTGCCATGCCATACCAGCACTGCCATGTGCCACCAGCAATGCCTGCTGAGGTACTCACTTCCAGGTCACCTCCAGGCTGAGTTTGAGGGTGCCCAGGTCATTGATATCCACAGCCACTACCTGGGGCAGAGCCGCAAAGAGGTCCTTGGTCTCGCAGGACACGTTGCCCACCACCACATGGTTGGCCAGGCTCTTTAGCTCTGTCACCTGGAGAAGGAGGAGAGGAGGAGATGAAGCCACGGGCCAGTGAGAGAGGTGCTGGAGGGAGGCTCAGGAAAGTAGTGGAATCACCATCCCTGAAAATGTTCCAAAAATGTGTGGATGTGGCACTTGGGATGTGGCTTAAGGGTGGGGTTGGACTAAATGATCATAGTGGTCTTTTCCAACCTAAATGACTCTGATACAGGGGGGTAGCTGGCCCACACCATCCCTGCCCTCTTCTGCACTGTACCTTGATGGAGAGGAACTCGGTGATGAGGGGTAAGAAAACCATTTCCTCGCTGTCCCACACCTGCTTGCTGTTCACCTCGATGCGCCCCCGCAGCTTCCACCGCTGCCGTCCGTACTTCATGAAGATCTGGGGATGCAGAGGTGTGGGTACGGGGGAGACAGGACACCAGGGTGCTCTCTGTGTGTCCCCAGGCATGGCCAAGGATCCATGCCACCCACCACCACCCTGCAACATGCCCTCCACGCCAGCGCCCACCTACACCCCCGAGACAGCCCAAGGACCACAGGGCAGGAGAAGAGCAGAACCCAACCCCTATGGTCCCACCAACCTCATACTGGTCACCAGCACAAAGCCGGGCAAAGCCTGCCAGTCCTGCAAGAGAAGGCAGAGGGGCGTCAGCAGGCAGCAGGCAGCCAGGCAGGCAGCGGGATAGGGATGGAGCGGGACGTGGTACCTTTCATCCGGACATGGAACTCGCCCAGCTGGCTCTCCAGATCATTCTCCAATAGACACATGTTCTGGGAACACACAGACGGATGGACAAGACCCATCAGCAGACGCTCATGGAACCCAGCACCCTGCCAGCCCACCCCTGCCAGCTGCCTCACCTCTGTGTACTCCTTGTAGCCCTTGCTGGCCTCGGCCAGGCTCTCCCGCGCCTCCCGGCTGCCCGGCGAGCCCGTGCTGTAAGCCTTGACCATGTTGTGGGCTCCATCCCGGAGCCGCCGCTGGATGCAATAAGCCTCATACAGCTCATCTATCTGCAAGGACAGGCCCGAGCTGTGGTGAGGGGCAGGGCTGGGGACAGCACGGGCATCCTGGTGTGGCACCAAGGTTACCTCAAGGTGACCCCAGTCCCCAGCTCTCACCTTGCTGGCATGAAACTCCAGGCGACGCAGGAAGCGCTCGATGGACTTCACTTGCTGGAAAAGCAGAGGAGATGGTGTGAGCGGCAGCAGAACCGCTCTGCGGGTCGGGATGTGCCCTCTGAGTCCCCCACGCTGTGGCTGGGACACGTCCTGGACACCAGCCCTGCCTGGGAGCTGCAGGGTGGCAGCCACCAGGGAGCACCCGCGTGCTGCAGCCTCCTCCAGGCTTTCCTGCCCTTGAGGGTCCTCCAGCAGCCAAGCCAGGCTCCAGGATGCTTTTTTGCCCAGCCTTAGAGACAACCTGGGCCCAGCACTTGCTAACAACAGCTTTCATTTGCAAGAAGCAGGTTACAAGCACATCTCTGCTTCATCCCCTGCCCAGAGCCACCCTGCCTGGAGAGCCCCAATCCCTCCCCCATCCCAATCCCAGGGGACAGGCAGCAGGGCAGTGCTAGCGGAGCAGGGCTGGCAGTAGAACATCCCAGGCACTTGGAAGGGAGATACGAGGGGGATGGGGCACTGATCCCGCTTACCTTATCCAGATCGTAGAGAAAGCCCTGGAGGAGAGAGGAGAGGGATAAGATGCAGCACAAAGCCCGCTCTGTCCACCCAAGGAGACCCAGCACATTGCACCCACCACCCATAGCATGGCAGTGGGACATGCAGCACCCAGCCGGGGCTGGAGAGTGCATGACAAAGGGACAGGAGACCTGTGAAGCCCAACACCAGAGCCTGGGCTGGCCCCCCACATCCCCACAGAAACAGGCTCTGCCCCAGGACACAGATGGACCACGAGCTGCCCCAGCTGTGCCACAACCCTGGCTGTCTGCCCAAGGCACTGCTCCCTGTAAGGCTCTTCCCAAGCAGCACTCACCAGGCGTGAATTCCTCTTGGACTCACGGATCTGGGTGCTGAGCTTCTCCAGTTCCAGCTGGTGCACCTCAAGGTAGGCTCTGAGGGAAAACACACCGTGGGGGTCAGGCCGGGATGCCGTGCCCACGGCTCCTGCCACCCACAGCCCACACCAACCCTGCACACCTGGCACTGCATCCCCACTCCCTGTTCCAGCACCCAGGCGTGGGAACCCATTCATGTCTCTCATGGGCTGTGGTGGGATGCAGGACCCCACACAGCTCCGGGACCCCAGGGAACCGTGCCCAGGAGACCTGGCATGTCCCTGCCTGGTGAGAGCAGAGAGCTGCCAACCCCAACCCATATCACAAGCTGTCCCTGTGCCCCTCAGGGGCTCCCTGCCTCCCCCCACCCGGCCACAGGGAGCCCCAGCACTTACGTCAGGCCTTTCTTGAGAGCTTCATACACCTCGTCCAGGCGGTTGGGCTGAGGCACCTTGGGTGGTGGGGATTTGTGGGACATTGAGAACATCCTACTGACCCTGGAGCCAGTCTTGCGGGAAACGGTGGGGGTGAAGGGCGAGAGGTTCCTGGGGAGAGAGGCAGGCAAAGCCAGGATGGCTGCGGTCAGCACACAGCACCAAGGTCCTCCTGGATGCCTCAGCCTGCTGGGCACCCTGTCTCAAGACAAGGAGGAGCTCTGGGATGGAGGCCAGGTCCCCTTGCCTCTCCCAGGACTCCCCAGCAGTCAGTCTAACTGACCAGTGGGGGCTGGAAGACACAGAGCCACAAAGTTGGGCAGCACTGCCTGCACCACATGCCTGCAACCCCCTGCAATGCATCTGGCTGCTCCAAAACCATGGGAAAGACAAGGAGAAACCCGCAAAGGTGGAGCTGGAGAGGAGCAGGGAGGTAACTCCATCCCAGTGGGGTCCAAGGGTCTGGCTGTGGTACAACCTCTGTGAAGGTGGGGAGGTCCCAGGTGCTGGTCAGAGGGAGCAAAGGCAAACAGAGATGGCACCAGCTGGAGCCAAGCTGTGTTCCTGGAGTGCCTGTGGGGACATCTGCAGCCCTGGTGCCCCTCTGAAGGGGCCATGCTCTGCTCCATCCCCAGCACCCCAGGTTGCCAGGGGCTTAGAAATGGTCTCTGGGCACTGTGGCAGGGTGACACATGCCACCTTTGGCTTGACAGCCTGTCACCTGCTCCCAAGATCAGGCAGAGATCCCAATGGGTGGCAGCACGGGATAACCCTGGGGACCAGCAGCCCTGTCACCCCATCACCCAGCGCAGCCGCGTGGGACAAGGACATCCTCACTGATGCTGTGCCTCTCCAGATGTCACCAAACCTGCTGGATGGAGCTGCCTCCCCCAGCCGACCCAGGGCCCGGGACCCGAACACCTCCCTTCCTGCCTTGTGCAATGGAGTCACTCCCCAGCCCAGCCAGCAACGCCTTGCTCAGACCGGCTCTTCCCTTCCTCCTTCCAAAGCATCATCACGCCACCAGTGCCCAGGAGACACCAGGGCCTCCTCAGTTCCCAGCCTTAGGCTGTACCTCCCATCCTGTGCCGCTCTTCGCAGAAGTGACCAAAACACTTCCCCGAATCATCCCGTGGGGGAAATGAATGTCTTGGCCTCCTCCCAAGCTGGAGCGATGGGTAAGCGCCTAATTTCCACCATTCCTCCTCATTCCCGTCTCCAGAGTCCCTGGAGGCATCTCCCACAAGCATCTGCCCACCAGCCACTTGGCTGCAGGCATCTAAAACTCCTTCTTTTTCCCTGTCCCTAAGCAACCCCCTCTACACCCCCAGATCAACGAGCTGGTGACCCACAAAGTGTTACTTGGTCCAGAGGACAGGACCTGGGGACAAGAGCTGAGGATCCTCCAGGTCTGGAGGATTTCTGGGCACAGGGAGGCTTTTCCTGGGCTTGTGCCCACCCAGAGAAGATGCCCCCAGAGTGGTCAGGCAGCTTGGCACTGCTTTACTTGGCCATTTGGCTGAGAGACATCTTCCCCTAGCACTGGTGGGTGCACTGGAAAGTTAGAAGCTTGGGTGAGCACTAAGAAAAGGGATTAAAAGCACTAAATTGCTTTAGTCCCACAACCCAACCTGTGGCATTCCTGAGAACCACCTGTGAGAGGGTATGTGGGAGCTATGGATGGTGGGGAGGGAGGGGGTGGGGACAAGCAGTATGTGGGGTGGTTATCACTGACAGGAGGCTCAGCAGAGAGGAGGAGGAAGGGGATGATGGGACCATAACATCGCCAGTGGACGGAGAGGATGAGTAGGGAATGGCTGCTCCTCGCACCACAGTTGACAGGAGGCCAGTAAAACCTTCAGTGACAGGTTTGAGGTGACCTCGAGGAAACCCTGATTCACACCAGCACTCACAACCCCGAAACTGGACGTCTCAGGATGTCAAGGCCATCAAGACACTTTGAAGCCACCCCAGCTCCACCGCACCCATTAAACATAAGGAGATGGTCACAGGGAAGCTCTTAAGAGTGGGCTGAAGAAGGAGGTGAGCTACACCTTGTCCCCTCCATGCTCCGGTGGCTGCAGGGTCCTCACCCTGCCTGGGGTACAGCACAGCGGAGGGTTGGGGTGATGGGTTCTGTCTCCCACGTGGCCTCAGTGCTCCCTTGCAGACCCCTGTGCAACGTCCCCTGGCTACCACAAAGGTCCCTGAGGGAGATGATGGGACAGCCAGATGGGAAGGAGCCTCGGGATGTGCAGCAGGTCCCACCACAACGCCCAAGCCTGTCCCTGTCCCCAGGATGAGCAGCCATCTCCTACCTGAAGGGCCGGTCGGCCGATGAGTTCACTCCGGCAAAGGACTGGCTCCTATTGATCTTGGTGACGAGGACTCGGCGCTGCGGGCGCACAGACAGTGACATCGTTGAGTGTGACCTGGAGGGCCTCCCTGGGGACAATGACACAGCAGGGTCACCAGCAGCCGGGTGGGGACACACATGCACAGACAGAGGTGCCGCTGGGACTGAGAGTGGCACCCATGGACCATGGGCTGCGAGCCTTCCCAGCCTCTCATCCAAGAACACTCCTGGTGGCACCGGGACACGGGGCCCATTCTGCCCCCGGGGATGCTGCTGGTGGCCTGCCCTGGGTGAAGCAGGGCCCTGGACACTGTGAGCACTCAGTGGGGACAGACGGATGGATGTGTCCGAGCTTGACCCCATGGGAGCCGCAGGAGGGGGCTGATGCCCAGTGCCTGCCATGGCCCTTCCCAGACATGACCATGGCAAACCCTAAGCTGTGTCCCAGTCCAGACACCTCCTCCTGAACCCCACATCCTGCCATCACCCGTGCCACCCTGCTGCAGGGGCAGGAAGGGCGCGGGGCTGGACCCAGACGCCCAGCCCTTCACTGTCTCCTCACTCGCTTCCGCTCGCTCCAGCAACCAGGAGGGAAACCCAAGGACAACAAAGCACTTTGGAAAGTTCCCGGCTTTGCCAGGAGCTCTGTGTTGGGGAAGAAAAGGTTGAGCCATTCCCTGCCAGACCCTGGAAAGTCCGTGCAGGCAGCATGTGTCCAGCCCCACAGCTGCTGCACTCCTGCAGTGACAGTGCCAGGAGACCCGAAACTGGTGCTGGTACCTGCCTGTCCCCACCACAGCCCGTGCAGTGGATGCCAATCAGGATGATGGAGATTTCTCAGTCTTGGGGCAGGAGCATCCCTGCAGCCCTGGCTGGAGCTCACGGAGGGCAGCCCAAAGCACAAGGCAAGGGCAGGGGAGTCTGGGGTTCCCGGCCACCCCCAGCAGTGCCAGCTGGGCACAGGGAGGAGCCCAGCCCACAGGGCAGCCACAGAGGAGCAGGATGTGGGATGCTCCACTTCATTGGATGCCCCTGCTGCTGATGGCAGCTCAGTGCCCCTGTCCCTGACAACCCCGAGCTGAGCTGTGGGTCGGGGAGCCAGGAGCTGCTGGGGATGAGCCCATACAGCATCCAGCAGTCACACACCCTGCCAGGAAAGGCCAGGCAGGACCCTAGGGATGCACAGCTTCCCTGCCTGGCAAACTAGGCCAGAGCCACCTCCCCATATCCCAAGGGGCTCACTCCTGCCTCCAGCATGGCTGACAGCCAGTGGACACCACAGGGACACAGGCTCTGCCGGGGCTTCCACCACCATCCCCACTCCTTCCCCCAGCACAACAAACCCAGGACCCTGGCCCAACCTGGCCCTACGTGGCTCACACCCACTCAACCACCAGTGGGCATCCCCCCAGCACTGTGCCCCTCGCCACCCCACACGCCAGGCTGGGGCCAGGGATTTGCAGCACTTGGGATGAGCTGGAGCCGTTCGGAGTCAAAGACAGCCACCGCCGCTCACCTCTATCCCAGTGGAGCTGGGAGGCAGCAGGTCCATCTGCTTCCCCCTTGGCACTCGGGTCCCAGCCCAGGACCTTGGAGCTGCTCGGCGGGTCCCACGGCCTCGGTGCTATCTGGGTGCCGGTCCCTCCATTTTCCAGGACAACACTGTCCCAATTAAGCTCATTAGAAGGAGCTGTAATCCCTGGCAGCCCGGCTGACCTGCAGGCCTGGGCAGATTACCCTCTGCAGGGCTCTTTAATCTGCTCCCCACCGAGTGAGCCAGGCCTGTGGCTCCCGTGCTTGCTCCCCAGCTGGGCACTACAGCAGCTCATCCATAGGGACAGCACCCACCACCCCTAGGATGAGGCTCTCCATGTGTGGGGTGGGTCACAGCTCCTTTGGGCACGCATGGTCCTGCCAGCCCATCCTTCTCCAGCCCATGCTGCCATCTAGGGGCTCAGGGGGAGCTCTAAAGAGGTTTTCTCAGGCAGAAGCCCACCCTGAGAGCATCACAGGGGAGGAGGATGCTGGGGGCATTGCAAAGGAAGGAGCACCCTGGAGGTGTCACAAGGCAGAAGGATGCTGGGGATGTCACAGGGAAAGAAGGACACTGGGGGTGTTGTGGGAGTGAAGGATGCCGGGGGTGCTGCAGGGGACTGATGCCGCAGCACAACTCCCCAGCAGAGTCAGAGCAATCCCCAGCCACTTGCCCCAGCACCTCAGAGACTCCAGCAGCCTCTTGTGCCGTGCTGGGTCACGCTCCAAAGCACCAAAGGCTCCTGCACTGGCACAGGGAGCAGTGCCATGAGCGGTGGCTGCTGACAGGACCACATCCCTGTGCTCCAGCTCTGGGACCCAGCTCTCCCCCAAACACCCACCACAACACACCATGGCACCCTGCATCCCCACCCCTGGCACCCTGCAACACGGATCCTGGGACAGGACCCCAAATCCTCTCTGAGGAGGGGGACACCATGCCCCTGCTGAGCCTGGCGCCAGCGGGCAGCCAGCCGGGTGCCAAAGGGCAGCGCTGCCTGCGTGCGGCAGGGCAGGCAGGGTGTGGGGTCTCTGCTCCTGGCACGATTGGGCTTGGCTCACAGAGGAGGAAAAAACCCAGCACAGTGCATTCCTGACATTACCGAGATAAGAGGTACCTGGTACCAGCAGCACAGGCAGCCCCCGCAGGGAGCAGAGCCCAGGGCACCCTTGGAAGGGCCACCGCATTTCACCCAGGCTGGTGAGCCCCGCACCAGCCTTACCAGGAGGCTGTCACCAACAGAGCACTGACACACGTGTCCCTGCCATGTCCCTGCCCCAAGCACATCCCTCCTTTTCCTGAGAAGCAGACGCAGAGGTCCTGCCCCAAAGGTTCAGTCCCAGCAAGCCCCACTGCCCCCTGCCCTTAATTAGGGCTTTGGTGCTAACAAACCTGCCTCCCAACCAAGGTTTTCACCTTTTCTGTGCCACAGACTGCCTCCAGCTCCCCCGGCGTAGGAAACACAATCCTGGGAATCTGTCCGTCTGTCCGTCTTCAGCCAGCACTGCCCATGGGCAGAGGCCAAAAGGGCAGCGAGCAGCTGGACAGGCGGCACAGCGTGGGGTGCTGGAGCCCACCCCGGGGCTCTCCAGCCCGGCCGCCAGCTCCTCTCTCGACGCCCGGTGCTCTGGAGATGATTGGGATCCCAAGAATGCTGGTCTGAGCGGTGGAGGGGGCAGTCCGACCGGCTGGGTTGGTCCCAGCTGGTTTCTGTTTCCGACACTCAGACACCAGCCTCAGGTCGCTCCGGCGGGTTTATCAACACTGCCCTGGTCGGAGACGCCCCAAACTGGCTCCCCCCTGAATCCCCAGCCTGCAGCCCTGGGAGCTGGGGGTGCTCTGATCAGCATCTCCAGGGATGTTACTCACTGATGGCCACCAATGCCCAGGGTGGCCAAACCAGCACCCTCCAGCACCCCTGACCTCGGGGGGGGGCACCCACGACCAGCCAGCAGCACCCACAGAGCACCGATACACGTGCCCCTGGGGGCCAAGGGGCTTCCCCAGGAGGGGCTGGGCTGTGGTCCCCACACCGATGGCACTGCGGGGCACAGCGGGACACCAGTGTCCCCCTGCAGTGGGGAGGCCACGGTGGCCACAGGACCATCCATCCTGCCCGCGGTGTCTGAGGCAAGCGGGGGGTCCTGCCGGCCCCTGCCCCAGCACCCTTGGGTGAAACTCGGGCGCACGGCGGGGGTGACCTCGGGAGCCTGTGAACTCCGCCCGCTGGCACAGCTCCCTTCGGAGCAGCCGCTGCATCCGTGTTTGCACAGCTGTGGCCCCGCTGTCCTAACCCCGGCACGTACCCCGGCCCCCGCCGGCCCCTTCCGGCCCCGGGACGGCCCTTGGCCGGCTCCCAGCGTGGGCTGGAGCAGCTCTTCCCTCCCATCACTCCTCATGCCTCCCTGCCACAGAGGATGGGAGCATCCGGGGACCGACACCATCCCGCCTTGGTCACAGGGAGCCTGGGAGCCGCCTCTTCCCTGACCTCCTCCATGCTCTGCCTCTCCTCCAGGAAGGCAGGACACCCCCCAGCTCCCTCTCGTGCTGGGAGAGGAGGGGCACTGGGGGGTTTTGGGAGTCAGATGAGTCAGTGAATGGATCCCGGCTCCCTGTGACTCAGCCGGGAGAGAAATTCCCGTTCGTAAGGCCACAGCCCCACAGCCCCCACTGGAGCAAGGGGTGCTGGTTTGGTTGGATGGGCGCTGGGTGCTCTTGGCCTTGTGGCAGTAGGGGCACAGTGGTGATATCCGCTCCTGTGGCCGTGGGAGGCCGCTGGCTCCTTGGGCCAAGTGGGAGGGCAGCAGGAAAGGGAAGGAGCTGCGAATGGGAAGAATTGGAGGAAGTGCTTATTTACCCCGTGGAGTATCCCCGCGGAAGGGCAGGGCACGGCACAGGCAGACACTCACAGCCAGTCCCTCGGGGGGGGCTCACAGCCTCCCACCCCAGCACCCATCCCATGGCCTCCCTGTTTCCAGCCAGAGGGGGATGCGAGCCCCAAACTGTGACCCAGGGAAGTGGCCACCATTGGGACAGGGGTTTCCTCAGGGCCTGTCAGAGCTCAAGCCCAACATGGCTCCTGAAAACCAGCCCAGGACCACCACGGTGCCCCACCACCAAAGGCACAGACCGAGCACCCAGCCAGGATCCACACGGACACTGCTCACTCCCATGCCCTGTGAGATGGGACTGCAGCCTGGCCAGGGGCACCAGACCCCGCTCCTGAGTGGGCTGTGATCCCTCTCAGAGGTACTGGGATCCTCCAGAAGGATCCTTCTGGGATTGGCATAACCTTGCAGAGGTCCCATGACCTTACCCCTGACCTGCACATCTCCAGGGTGCTCTGTTGGGTATCAGTAGCTTCCCGCACAAATCCTGCCCGGACAACTTGGTCTGAGTGCACAAGAGTAGTCCCAAGACCCTCTGTTCTGCCCAGTTCCCCTAGGACCACCGTGCCAGGGATGTTCGACATAGAGCCAGGCTCTGTTTGCCCTCATTAGATGTGAGGGTACAAGGGGGAGAAAACCAGTTTGCCGAGGAAAGCCGCACCACTGT